GTTGAAATATTATAAGGGTGCAAAAATAAATCAATAATGTTTATTAGGATTTTAAATAACAAATGTATTGTTTTTTGTGAAAATAGTTCATAAACAGAGTTGATCCTTTAAGTAACAGAATTGTAAAGTAACATAATTGACAATTGTCCGATGGACTGTCAATTATGTTACCGCATTGTCTAGTACACCTACCTGAACATTGAGGCTGTGAAAGAACTTTCTATTCACATAATCTGCCTCATGTTCTCTAAGAGCTGTGCAGATTGCAGCGTGTGCAGTCTATTGCTCCTATGACTCTAGGGAATCCTATCATAAGATGAATAATAAAAATAAAAAAAATACTGTATTGTATAATTTAAGTGCTCTAAGTGAAATCAGCTTTTTTGGGGGAGAAAAAAAACTCAATGTATAAAATTAAAAGTAAAATTTCATGTGATGTCACCCTATGAATCTTACCGGCAATTTTATAAAAGCCCTCTTTTATGGACATGGTTGATAAATGTCCGGGGAACACTATGAAGCTATTTATGTACCCCTGCAGTGCGAGGACCACCTTGCGAATGGTTCAACAAACCATGTTTTTCCCAAGGTTCTCTGCATCACCGACTGCATACAAGTACGTACCACTTGCAAAAAAACACAACGCAATACATACCATTTGCGGTACAGTAAGGGCATGACTTCGACGTGTCACATTTGTTATGTGCGGCTCAAGAAGTTCGCAAATATAAGAGATTCCTTCCGCGGAGAATCTGTATCTTTCATACAAGTAAGTATCAGGAAAGGCTAGGGGATTTTGTCTGTCCCTAAAAACTCTTTCTCTACGAAGTGCTCGTCTAACAATTTGTGTGGAGATGTCCACAGGATTTGATAGAAAAGGTGAAGCCATTGCAACAGACACTGGGATATGTGACGTCACCTATATGTTTCTTTGATCACAGCTGATTGGTCAAATTTCAGTCTGAGATCTCGAATCCAGAACATAACCTGCCCCGGAGCAGGTTAGCCATGCAGCATAAGATACCATGGCGACAAACAACGATTAAAGCCGAGCTACCTTCATAGTACTTAAAACCCAGAGTTGGCGCAAACTAAACTGAAACTTACCTGGCCAGCCAGCTAATCTGGCTTCATGGTATAGGCCCCTGGTCGGGAGCAGGGGCCTGTTACATAAAACAAGTTTACCAAATAAACCAGGCTTATTTTAGTTAGTCTGACTTATTTTGAACCAAATCAACTGACAATAAGTCAGACTAACTGGAATAAACCTGGCTTATTTGGTAAAATTGTTTTATGAAACAGGCCCCAGGTTTCTTTGGTAAACCTTTTGGAGTTTCTTTCGGTCTCCTCCCCCTTTTTAAAGTGTAAGCGACATTTGAATACCTCATTCATTAATTCACGCTGCAAAATTGCTTTTCTTACTTAGTATTTTTGTCTTATTTCAAGTACAAATATCTAAAAAAAAAAAAAATCTAAAATGGCACTCAAGTCTATATGCCGCTGAGACCTAGTAGTAAGGATCCCAGTCCTCAAATGTGTGGAGGAAGTAAAGCTGTGGATGGCTGAGAATCTCGTTCAATTGAATGAAAACAAAACAGAAATTATTATTTTTGGTCAGCCAGATGATAAAAAATAACTTAGGGCCATGGAAGGGGTATATGCAGGATCAAGTAAAGAATTTGGGAGTCATTTTTGATGCATCTCTTATATTTGATCGACAGATAAAGACGGTGGTTCGTAATTGTTTCTTCTTTTTAGGGGCAATAGCCAAATTGAAAACAATTTTGTAAGTCAGTGACCTGGAAAAAGTCGGCCATATCTATATTTTTTTCCCCGGTTTAGATTATTGTAGTTCTCTTTATGTAGGTACTTGCCAAACATATGTTGCTCACTTGCAGCTGGTAAAAAATGCTGCTGCAAAGATGATAATGAATGCTAGGAAAGCTGATCATGTTTTTAAAGCGCTCCACGGAATGCGTGGAGCGCTTCCCCCATGGGAATAAGACTATATACCTTATGTAATTTTTTCTTATGTAGAAAATTCATCTTGATTTAAGAATCTTCAGATAGTTTGAATGGAAACAAGAAGACAAAAATTCTAAGTAAGAAAAGCATTTCTTTTGCAGTGCAGGTACATTCATTGCGCATATTTTCATCATGCAGATACCATCAAAGTATCCTGTAGACGAGGAGGCTGCATAAATTCGTAGGGAGTTTTTTTTTTTTCCCATATTTACATGCATATTTATTCGAGTGGTACCATTTAAAGGGGTCATCAGGTGCCCATTTTCCACAAGTTGATATGATTCTTTATGGTCTTAATGAAAAGTCTATAACATACTTTGGTTAAAATTTCTCAATAGTAGTGTAAAACAACACCCTTTTTACCTTGCCAAAAACAGCTCTGCAAACAGCAACCCATTTTAGTGCATGTTTCTTTAAATGCTAATGAACTCTGCTCACACAATGTCGCTTACACCCTGCCTTCAAAAACAAACGTAACCCTGAAGATGATCAGACTTCAGTGGCTCAAATGTTGAGAGTAAATGATGACTGCTATGTTCATTATTACATCTAACAACAGAACACCTCAATCTCTTAAGAGACATTCTTGTCTACTGCTCCAGCATCGAAACAATGGCGGACTGATGACAGCTCACTCAGGGCGGGTCTAAGGTAAAACAATAGTATCAATCAACAATCGTGGGAGGGGCCTGGGTCTGTGTGACGTAACAGGCATCTGAGAATTGATATGAGAAAGGGGAAATGATTTAACGAGATAAAAAAATAAAACTATGGGTGGATCTTTATCATTATAGGGTGGCTGTGTGCACACACTGTCAACACATATTTCAGTTCAAACAACTTGTAAAAGTGCATGTCGCATCCGATGACCCCTTTAAACTGTAGTTTTCTATAAAACATTGGAGATGCAGAGCACATTAGTGCTTTAGAGCATTAGAGCACATACATTAGGCCACTGTATGCAGACCAATAAGGAAAGTGTGCGACGCTCTCACGCTCTTTCTGAGAATTTTTTTCCTGGGCACAAATCTGTCAAAGAGGAGTTTCACTGGTCTGTAGATCAGTGGTGTAGATTGGTTTAAATGAGGCAAATCTGATAAATGACATTCACTTGATAACATCTTGCTGTGACCTCTGGAAGTAACCCAATAATTAGAATTTCCTTCAGGATTTCTAGTGTAGTTGGATGCATTGACGATATGCATATTCCCACCTTCGCACCTTCTGAAAATAAATTGGATTACTGTATGGAATGGAAGGATGCCAGATGGAGGTGTAGTACGAGATATATGCTGTAACCACCACCACAGTTATTAAATAAACACACATTATTCACAATTTATTTGGTCATCTTTATTTCCTACAAATATGTTTTTGGATTTTAAGATTCTTCCAATACTTGACCATCTCTTCATCTGTCATTGGTGCTTTTGCAGGTTCTCCCCCCATTTTGCGAGCCTCTGCCTTTTTTTTTTTAATTCATTGTTCTAATTAAGAAATGTAACAGGCTAATTAAATATTCTCTAATCCAACCTATGTAAAAACAGTGAAAAAAGCTGCTGCACATTGAAATAGACACTGAATTATATTTAATACTGTATGTCAAATGTTTGTAAAGTCATGTAGCCTACACCCATGAACCTTTTATGCTTAAAGCTTTACCTTGCTTGAATTGTGTTTTTATACTTCATGTTTAGCTGCTGCCACGTTCTTTTTTTTTTTTGCTGTGGGATACCATGAAAATGAATACTAGTTCAATAATTTACAGTTTTCACCTCTGATATTATAACAGTGATTAAGAATTAAACTTACATGTTGACTTAAAGTATGCAGATGTCTTTTTGTCGGGTGCTGTTGCCATGGTGAATCATAATTTCGGAGCTCAACTGATCATGACTTCTCATAGTCATGGTACACGCGCTAAACTCAGAGCCAACCTACTATGAGTGGATTGAACTAACACAATTCAGCTGTTCTAAAATGGAAAACTCAGAGTTTCTCATCTCGGGGTCAGTCAACTCAAGAGTTCAAGTTTCAGAGTTGGTTGAACCTCCTTATTGAAACGGGCCCCAGTTCTCCCTCAGTGTTTGTCAGTTCTCATTTATGTTGCTGTGTAATTATTCCTGTCTTCATTATCTTTGTTATGAAAGTCTATTTCCTAGTGTTCATCTTAATCTTCATGAGCTTTACTACACGTACGTTAACAAAATAACCAACCAAGACAATTCATATATTTAGCAGTGATTTTCTTTCTTTTGTTTTGTTTATTTTTTCCCCAATGGACTTGCCTGCTCTCCAACTCCTATGCCCCGAGCAGGAAGACCATTTCCTGGAGGATCATAGCAGAGACTTTTTGGATTTGGATCTGGTGAAAGCCAAATTGTTGTTCACTAGCACCCACTCCACGAAAGCAGCGAAATTCTTTGGGGAGGTAATACCCAATGTTCCTGAATCTCCTGAGTCTCCTACAATGGGTTCTGCCCAGCTCTCCTGTGCTTTCTACGTCTCCTGAATCTCCACTGGTTCTGCCCAGCTCACATTTCCCTGTGTTCCCTCCCAGCCTCCTTCTCCATCCTCCTCTTCTAGAACCAGCCAATTACTCAGCCATGCCTCTGCTGTTTCCAGTTAGTCCCTCATCCTCAGTCCACTCCATCCTGTTGTGCGAATCCACCTCAGGCCTTTCGGTCACCAGCTCTGCATAGGCAAGAAAATTCTCTATCTCTACCTCCGAGTCCTGGACGCCACCTCGGCCCTCAGACCCATTGGCTCTGCCTTGCCTCCTTGCTCTCTCATCTCCAATGTGACCCATCATCCCACTAGCTCCACTGGGTTCCCTTGTCCCTCAGGCTCAGCCTTGGTCAGAAGTCAAACTTACTCTGCTTTGGGATTCCACTCCTACAGCTTTGCCTCATCCCTCTATCCCTCAGGCTCAATCTGGCTCTTCTTTCCCTCCAGCTCCACCGTTGTCCTCAGTTGTTCCGGCTCTGCTTTGGTCTTCCAGGTCCCCTTCTCTGCCTCGTTCACATGAGTCATCAGCTCTGCCTTGGCCCTCCTTACCTCGGATGTCACCCAGACTCTCCTTCTGCTCTGCTCCACCTGGGTCTCCATCTTCAGCAGCTCCATCTCCGTTTCCATTGCTTGTGCCCAGGGTGTCCTCTGCCAAGTCAACACCATGGCTCCCCCTCCATTGACTTTGCCCTTGGGCCTTGTTCTCGCTGGTCTCTGGACCAACATCTGGCTCCTCCTCCTCCTGGCTCTTCACTGGATCCTCCCACCCTCCACTCCCAATTGGATTTATTCTTTGGAATATTTTGGTTTTGCCCCTTTCCTACTCCAAGCCCTCTTCCATAGCCCCCACCCTCCCTCCTCTGTTGGACTACTTATGGTGTGAGGACGCGCCTTCCAGGGAGGGGATGAACTGTAACATGTATATCTTGTGTTTCCATGCTTATAAGTCCTCAGTTCTCCCTCACTGTTTGTCGGTTCTTGTTTATGTTGGTGTAATTATTCCTGTCTCCAGTATCTTTGTTTTAAAAGTCTATTTCCAAGAGTTTATCTTCATCTTTGTGAGCTTTATTACACATACCGTAATAGTTGGCCTTTTATGTTCTTCTTGGTCAAGAGTGGTATTCAGCAAGATGCATCAACATGATGGCCATACTTGTCTAGTGTTCTTATACTCTGCATTGAATAGTTTTTTTCATCCTTTCATTGGGTCATCTTGAAAGTATTTGGCAGTACATTGCAGGTTTGTCTAGGTTGCTGAGGTACAACACATTTTAAGCAAAGGAATAAGATTGTCAGTTGTGTCTCTAGGAACTTTAATGTCTTGGAAATCTTCATGTAGCCTAAGACTTTCTAATGTAATACAACTATTTCTTCTCTATAGCATTTGTGAGAGCTCTATTGACTTTGCCATATTTGCTATTTAACTTAAGCACATGCATGGGCTAAACATAAAGTACTGCAGTCTCTGGGGGGTTGAATAGTTTTGATTTGCAACTGTATGTATTTGAATAAGTGCTTTTAATGGTCATTGTGATCCAGACGGATGCACAGCGTGCAGTATCACAAAATCAATAGCATATTGTATGACAGCGGTTGTAATGTAGGCCTACTTGGT